GCTTTTTATCAAGTCTCTTTTCCTTTGGTTTGACAGCATAATTTCAACAAAAACCAGGAAACAGTATACCCATTTATACTGGGGTCCCCAGTATGAAACAGAAATGAACCCATTGGAGTAGGTCCAGAAGAGAGCCAGAAAAATGATGAGAAGGCTGCGAAGGCTGAGAGAGTTGGGGTTGTTCAGCCTGGAGAAGAGAAGGCTCTGGGGAAACCTTATACAGAGGGCTTATAAGAAAGATGGAGAGAGACTTTTTACCATGGTCTGTAGTGACAGGAGAAGAGGAAACGGTTTTGAAACTGAAAGAGGCTAGGTTTAGACTGGATATAAGGGAGAAATTTTTTTTTATGAGGATGGTGAGACACTGGAGCAGGTTGCCCAGAGAAGTTGTGGATGCCCCATCCTTGGAAGTGTTCGAAGTCGGGTTGGATGCAGCTTTGAGCAATCTGATCTATTGAAAAATGCCCCTGCCCATGGCAGGGGGGTTGGAACTAGATGATCTTTAAAGGTCCTTCCAACTCGAACCATTCTATGATTCTATATTCCACTATTTTTGCATTTATTAATTATATATTTCATTAAAGTACTTTGGAAAAAAGCCACAGGCTCAAAGCTTCAAAGAAAACCCCAAGAATCTCAAAAGCAACGACAGATTGGGACCTCATTCCTACATAAGAGCTGAGACACAGAAGGCACACTCTTAGATCTGATAATATACACCTAGTCAGACACCAGATGGCCTGTCCAAAATCAGCCAGAAAAAACTTATGGTGCAGAGGATTTAAACACGGGCCTCCCAGATTGCAGTCCTACTATCCCTGCCTCCAGATAAACCCTCAGTGCTGTTCCAAGGTGAGAAGGTTGAAACAGAATGCATGGGTAGATTTTTCACTGTATCAACCTTCACAGGCATATCTTGATTTCCCTCTATTCAAATTGACATGGAAAAATGGAGAAAGATGGTGATTCTCCCCAAATCAGAACTGTTAGAGAAACATTTTTTTTCTCTCTACAACAACAGAAAGGTATAGGGAGGCAAGACAACCACAACATTTGGCCAGAGGGACATGGAATACATCTTCCTCAAACTTCACGTGCTCATCAGCCAAGGAAGTCCAGCAGAAATTTCCACATATAAAAGGTTGAGCTATTAAAAAATTCACAAGTGTCATGTTTCACAAAGAAAGCCTTGTGACTCAACACCGGACAGGAAAAGCCTATAGCATTTTAAGCCAAGTTGTCAGTTGCTAAAAAGAGCAGCTTTTTTTTTTAGTTGTAAAGGAGATATGTTACTCCTCCACCCACACCAGTGAACAAGAGGGAATTGTCACTGAAAAAAGGGACAGCAATACACCCAATCTTAATATGAAAAGTTTAGAATTTTACCATCAGCTGTAAGCAGCCTCATTAAAACCATGACCACAGTTGATGCTCCTTCTAAGCAATACCAGTAACATGACAGCTAAAATGGAGACCACAGTCATGCCACTAGTCACGCTAAATAATTTTTTTAAATTAGCACGTTTGTAATAAAAACTGTGAGCAGAACAATTCTATCTAAATTAACAGCCATACTTACTTAAAAACTATGATCAGTATCTAGCATTATGACTCATAATCAGATAAAATCCTATCAAGCACAATTACTTTCTCCATACAAAAGGGCAAAAGCATATAGATAAACCATGCTGACTATTAAATTCTCCAAATTCCGCCACTTAAAAATGACTGAACCTCCACAGCTGATGCTGACTCTTGGGTACTTTCTATTACAGTGCTGTTAAAGATGCTCTAGTGACAGCTAAGTGATAGGAGTCAAAACGAAGTAAGAATAATTTATGTAACTTTCACCAAACAGCAGTAACTTGTGTTGCTGACCTAAGCAGAATTTATATAAAAGGGAAAAAACTGAATTAATTCCAAGCAGCCCCGTTCCTTGTATTGGACCTATTTTTCAATACATCAAACAAGACATGCAAAACTATGGAAATTAGTATGATAACCTTCTAAACCAGTATTTAGCAACAGCCTTACAGAAGTGGAGGCTGGGAGGAAGGGAGATAGGGAATGGATTATCAAGAAGGTGTGGGAAAGCAATATAAGCAAGTAAATGATAGCATGAAAGGAAGGATACCCACCAGTAGATAGAGACTCCCTTAGAGGCATAAACCCACGTGCACATTCACTACCTGATCAGGCAAAACATCTAAACACTCGGGATCTGCCTTGCCTGCCTAAGCAGTGGCTAAGAAGTGTCTCACATGTCTGAATGCAGTAAAAAAACCAAAAAGGCAATTAAGCATGCCCCAATCCTGAGCCAAGTAATACCTTCCCTTCTTGGGAACAGAAGAGATTGGAAATCACATCTCAAAACAAACCTGTTTCCAATTCCAAGGAGTTCTCATACGAGGCAGGGGTGTTTCTCCTGGGCTCAATAACTGAAAAGCCTCAAGTTCCCTTGCTTGTCTTACCCACACTGACAAATTGCAGAGAAACCAACCTAGCAAATGAAGTAGTCTCTCAGGTAGCAGAAGCAGTCCTATCTGTCACAGTACTTTGAAAGAAATGCAGTCTGAATGCTTTTAGGCATTCTCCTTTTGGAAAATAAAGATAATACATATGAACACGTAACAGGAATAAACTTCTGCCACAAGTTATGAAGTGTTTAAAATCCATTGGAGAGTCCAACGCCACAAAAATATTTTTAGAACAAAAGAGTCAGCCCAATGACCAAAATTCAGGAAACACAGAGGGTAAAAAGCTTTCTAAGAAGGAAAGAAATAAAACGTGTTGATGAAAACTCTTTAAGCAAAGGAGCTTGTTCTGACTCTACCAAATTGTTAGAAGCATCTGAAAGGAAAAGGAATACTCAACTCTACAAACGCAGGCATAGCATGTGTGTTGGCAGCATTCAGCGGCATCTGTCTGCATATTGAGGCAAAAAAGTTCCTGTAAGGCACTTGTGCACAGTTGTGGTATTGATTTATACAAACAATCCAGCCACCAATGAATGATCGTTGCTCTTTCTCTTTTTCATATTCACAATAGATGACTCCTCGAAGCACGCTCCAGTTTCAGTTATCCAGAGAAAGGATCAACATTCCTAGCTGAAAAGATGATGTGGGACTGCTCTACTCAATGCTTGAAGGCTTCAGTGATCACATAGTACTTAATGTGATCTGAGCTCCAAGCAACAGAACTACAGATTTCTGGAAAGGAAGCATCCTTCAACGTGCTGCTGAGGTCTCTTGCACTACAGCAGGAACTACTGTGACTACTGCTAATGGTTCCAGCTTAGCTACTGCACCTGCTCCTTGGCACAAGTCAAAAAGCACACACGGCTCAGACTGCTCTCCATGAAACCCCGTTTCTGCAGAAATAAAAACATAAGCAGTTTTCCTTGCTTATGTTTGACAGCAGAAGAAAGCTTCTGTTCTGGGGGGCTTCAAAGAGAACTGGTAGATTAACAATGCTGACCTAGATGAAATCCAGAAGTTGCCTCAAATTAGTATCTGGGCTCATCATTCAGGGATTTTTATGCCATCTTTTGTTACACAAAAGTGTAAACTAACAGGGCTTGAATTTCAGCACTACTCTAAGACAAGTGATAGCTGCTACAAAGGCTGTCTTCCTGAAGAGGTACCATGGCATAGGGTCACTCCCTGAGGGTAAAATCCTTACTGAGCCGTGAGGAAACTCTGATGGAAGACCTAAGCCAGACAAAGGCTCCCTGCCACGAAAGCAAGCTCAGCTCTTCAGTTGCTACAAGGGAAAGAGGGGCAAAATTCTGTGATTCTCCTTTCCTTTGGCCTCCTATAACAGACCACGTAAATCAGTGCAGCAGGAAGGGCTGCTTGCAGCTGAACCCTCCACAGACAGGGCGCTTGGAGAGTATGGACAGTAAAGAAGGTGAAGCAGTAGTACTTGATGAAAAATAAAACTAGCAATTTCTTTCAAGATATACACTAAACTTGTGCTTTGCCACTAAGCTCTTCTTCCAAAGAGAAGACACAACTAAAAGAGAAAATTCACAGATCCCAGGTCAAAGACCTAAAGAGCCAATAAATACAGGGTTTCTCCTGGCTAATTTTAGGGCTGAGGGCTTAAAATCCCTGATAACTCATTGATACCTATGTGGTGCTCCCCTAAACAGGAATAAGATATATATGAACACCTATCAAACCTTAAGCCATGAAATATGGCTGGAAGTCTAATGTTTGTGGTAGCAGACTACAGAAGGGCCATTTAAAAAATAAAAATAAAGGATAAAAGCAAACAAATCAAAGACACAGGCAACAGATCAAAAGATAGCTAGCTGGTAAGACATGAAAAGAGCTATGACTTAATCTGTAGGTTGGGTCAGGCTCCAGTCTTGCTAAATTACGTGAAGTAAGAGGTCACAGAACTGTTACTGCTAGACGAAAGAAGTCCATGGTCACGAGTCTTTGGGTATATGCATCCTTTCAATCTAAGCACGCCTTCAGATAAGTGCTCAGAAGTATAAGTCTCATATTATTTTTTTTTAATAGAAGTTTCAGAAGTGGGATGAAATTGGCTTGGTATTTCTCAGCTTGTAACTGAGAAAATCGTTAGAAGATTGCATAGTGCTTTTGCAAAGCAAACCTACAGCCTTGTAGGACAAGTGACAAAACCATTACTTCTGCCTTCATGGAGTTACAGAATATCAAAGACAGTTATTGTTGGCATGAGAAGCTAGTGACTTGACATTTCAGGCTGATGTTTACTTGAATGGGTATCTACTGAAAACATCTTGATAAAAGCAGCACTTCAAAGCTCTAACAAAGGGTCCTAAATTGACTGAGACCTGCACAGAAACAAGCTTTAAAGACTCCATACTCTAAGAATTTGGTTACTTTGTACAACTTACCGCTGTAAAATTAGTTTGCAAACGACTGAGAAACCAAGTTTCTAGAAAATTCTTTAAGTGCAGTATTTGATAGAATACATTAAATTTCACAGACACCTTCCAATCTCCTTACCTCTTGTCCTGAAAGGTAGTATGCTGCTAGAAGACCACCAATGAAGCGAATATTGACCTCAAAAACAGACACCTCGGAATTCTAGAACAGGAAGAAAAGAGTAAATGATTAACCAAGTCTGTGATCAAAGAAGAAAAACAATCATCCAAGCAGGGGCAAGTACATATTCTAAACCAATATGCATGTAAGGGTTTGTACTCCTTCAGTATCTAGATCAATACCGAAATTCCTGTGCACATCTTCACGACACCAAGTGATAATTCAAGTTACAGCTTCAACTGATTTTTAAAAATTAAATTAGCTTTTCTCCTACTGTCTATTCATATTACCACCACAAAGTGCAATTAAAGTTGTCTGTGGATGGTGGGAATGAAGACAAAGACTGTACATTTCCATGATTTTCCATTTTTTCCTCTTACATTTAAGTATCACTCTGAATCTCCTGGGTTTACAGGATAAAGTGGAATAATAATTAGAGAATTCCTGTAATTGGAATTCAGGTTAAGAAAGCCTAAGTGCAATCTCAAATTCAGAGCTCCATTTTCACACAGTGTCTGTCTAGCAATAGCCTTTATGTATTTAATGTTATGACAACGAGTACTACAAGACCACTGAGAAACTCAAGATAATAAACCATTTTAATGCCTTCCTCCACCTTAATATCCTTGGCCTAAATTCACCAGTACGTTTTGACTCATTTAACCCACCAGAAAATTAAGAGGAACTAGCTAGTTTTAGCATCTTTCTGCCTCCCTTTGTGCCCCATTCACTCCTTTGCCTGCATGCACCCCCTTTTGTCTCCCCCACAAGCTTCTATCCATTCAGTCCATTAGAAACAGAAAATAAGTTTTATTAAAACATTTTGAGATAAGGCAGCCTTTCCTTTTATCCTGAAAAGTCAGCAGAATGTACACTATACAAGTTGACCCACTAATTAGCGCACAGTTGAAATTATATTTATAGGTATATCTTTCCTTTCATACCATTTCTATGGCACCTGAGGTTCTACCATGCATTTTGTTTGTATCCAAAATAAATGCATTTTGCACGTATTAGGTATTTCAGAAAGATTACATGAATACTTTAATGATTTCCTCAAATAGCACTGATGACTAAAAGGCTAAAGTTTGAGATACTCCCAATTACAAGTTTTTAGTAAAAGATGTATTTTTATTCACAGAGAGGTGACATAAGAAAGATAACACCACCACAGTGTACGATTCCACTCAATTCCTGGGAGAGTAATGAATCACACACGCAATGGCACAGTGTAGAGTGAAGCCAAGGACTTCTATTTCCCAGTAAAAGAATCCAAGAGGAACATATTTATGTGTTTCTTTATTTATTAACTTCAAACTACATAAGGAAATCACTCAAGTCTGGTAGATTTAAGAAAACTCATTAATGTTCAGAAGTGTTTTTTGATACACAGGAAGCTGTAATTGAACCTCTGTGGGTTGTGTAAATGTCTTCCACCCAAACTCCAGATTAAATCTGCAAATTTGTATTGAGAATGCCTCAGATCAGACAAAAGTTATGGAAGTAATTTAGTTCAACCTCATGATGGTACCATTACGTTTATACTGTCTCTGAAATATTTAGGGTCTTTTAGGGACAGAATAATTATCTTGCACTAACTGTAAAAAGGAAAGTAGAATTTCTTTAATGTTTGCCAGTATAAAATGAGAGGAAAAAAACTCAGTTTCTGAAATGTAGGATATAATATATATAATACACATTATATATAAAATAAAAACAACAATAAGCATCTGCTCAATTCTGACTGTATAATTACATTTTATTTTGTGCATTACTGAATGAAGTTTTTGTTTTTGAACCACAGGGCAAGTCCAGGGATTGAAATACAAATTCTGCCACAGCCTGTGACAGTTGCAAAATTAGTAATAAGAACACTAATCAAGGAGGATAAAATAGAGCCCTTTCTTCCATTTAACGCTTCCAAACTCTAAGCACACAAAAAAGGCCTAGATGTCATACTGTATAGGAAGCTGGGACATTCTTCTGATAGATGTAGAACCTGTAGGCAAACTAAGATGTTTTAACACAAGGAATGCCACTTGAATCATCTTAAGGACACAGGAGAAGAAGAGATTGTATTGTTAAGTAATTTATACACCATGGTTTTGGGGGAAAATTGTCTTTCACAGCTCAGTTATTTCCAGCTACTATTAGACAGTAAAGCCTCTTTTTTCTGCATTCATTCATTTCTGAGGCCCTGTTGGGTCTCACTGACCGCTTTCCCTTTCTTCCATTATCCCATTACAATTTGTACTTTGAAAACACCATATATATAGATGTATCTTTACTTGCAATTAAAGTGCAAAGGGGTTGGAGTGGGTTTTTTTTCAAAATACATAGCGTTACAGACACAGAAAAGTGCACTAAAGCTTACATCTGAACTTCTGAAAATTTGAATCGTAAGCTTTTTAAGTTCCAGCTGAAAGACCTTCTTCTGTCTGACCCCAAGAGGAACACTGTGAAAAGGACTAGAGAAATATTAGGGCAAGCTCTACTCACCACACTGAAATCAAGATTTTTGTCAATCCATTCTTGTCCTTCTCTGAATTCATCGTGAAGCCCCATGATATAAAGAGTATCCAATGCATCTACTATGGTAGCACCCATTTGTGAGTTTCCTGCACATAAAAAGAAAGATTTCTATTACAGGTGATTATTTCATTACTTTTCTTAAACATCACAAGTATGAAAAAATAACTCAAGCAGTAGCAAAGCAAAGTTACTACAAAGATGACAGTACAAAGAATAATCAAAATGAGCGAGGAATTAGCAGCTACTTAAAAGGATGACACTTCTCTTTCAAACCATCAGTCCTCTGGCACAGTTTGGCTTCTGGGGAGAAAAGAAAACTAAAGATAGAAAAAAATAAAAAAGCTTCTCATCTGCTTTCCTAACTTGAACATAAGCAACTGTACTTTGACACGAAAAAGGACAGAACAACGTTCAGCTTCAAAAAGCTATTAGGAATTCTAGGACAGAAATGTTAAAAAAAAGCATAGGCAAGATAAAGCAATCCGTACTTGGAGCAATGTCTTGCATTTCCCAGCATATATTGGTGAAACGTTCAAAGTTCTGCAATTATGGAAGCTTCCTAGTCATTGAAAGCATGGATTGATGAAGAGGGATGCCCTGGCTTGGCTTGAGTAATAAAGCCCCGGCCCCAAGATGTTCAAGTCTCTGCCTGCAGGGACCTACACTATGAGGTGCTAATGGATTCCTAAATTGTCACCATTTAGGAGTGGAGCATTTAGAGCCAAATAAAAATCAATGGTGCTTTACCCTAAAATGCCATTCACTTGAAACAGCAGCAATTTAGAGTTGATTGATGAGTGACTCATCGGTTTGTACAGGAAGACAGGTTGAAGATGTGGCCAGCCACTGACCATGTCAACCATGTCAGCCTTGACCTCCTTAGGCCATCCCAACCTAAGCTCTTGCTCTCATAAGGCAGAGGTCTTTGTTTCTAGAGGAAAGCAAGAATTACCATGGGTTGGTTTATTTTCATGTAGCGTATGAAACTTCCTATGCCCTAAGAAAATAGCTGAATTTCACTGTTCATACCAGTATTCTATAAAACAGTACATAACTATGTGATTAGCAATTTAATGGCGATAGTCTCCTAACAAGTTAAGCCAATTTCGTTTTTTTTAACATCCTATTTATCCTTAATGGAATTTCTACAGTGCACTGTTCCTGCTTAGTTGTTTCTATTCATTCATTTCTGATTTTCACATGTTTAGAGATATTTTTTCCCCTCAAGCATAACAATAACTGAATGAAGCCATCACCACCATTGTATTTCTTTTACACACCTAAATAGCTGGTATTTACATGCAAGCTTAATTGCGTTTTCAGAGATTTCTTTCCCCAAATAATAAAAATTAAACACAGTCTCTGACAAAGTAATCACCAATTAATTTCTTCAAAAATAGCTGTGCATCTGTTTTAATTAATTTAAACTCGGTCTGGAAAGCCTTTAGTCAGTGGCATTATATTCATATTCAAGTACAAATGGGGACAGGCTACCTTTCTTAAGATTAATTAAAAGATATATCCTTTGACAAATTGGCCACCAAGCACACCTATAACTCTCAGGAAATGAATTCATCATGGTGTGTAAGTACCAGAAGGCTTTAACACCTTCAGCCAAGTGACAAATTCCATTGCTCATGCTGAAGGGAGGTCCCTTTGAGCAGACCTACAGCACTGGCTTAACTTCGCACCTTTTCATAAGCATAAGGTGACAGTTATCTAATTTATCACTTCAAAATTATGCAAACCAGACCATGACACAAGATCTAACTTCAGTATTAGCTGGCAAAGTATTTCTGACAAAATTGAAATGTGTTATATTGCTGTGGCACTCAAAGTAATTTGTTCCTTTATTTAAACCGCATTGATATAATTTAAAAATACACAATGTATTTCAATAAACAGGGATACATAGCCTTAGGAAATCCTGAAAGCTGCTCTTGTAGTAGTTTTAAAAAATAAAAACCTTTTAACTTAAACACAGCAATAACCACATCAGTAAGCTCTCATGTTCTATAGCTGGCATGGGGCTGGAGAATAAATTGCATGGGGATGGGTTGGTGTGTCATTTCTGGGGCGGGTTGTCCCCCACCTCAGAAAAAAATTCAGATACCACTGTACTATCATCCAGTTTTCTAGATCTCAGAAGCGCATTCAAGTGTCCACAGGGGGAGAGGGAAGGATGAAGGGGGTGAGACAGCAATATGCTGGACACAAGCATATCTACTTTCTAGCCCTGTAGAAAATCTTCAAAAATACTAATTCAAACTTTTTTCATATGAGTTTTCTACACAGAACCACGAAAGGAGGACCATGGAAATGCAAAAGCCCATGATTATTTTTGCCACCTCACCAATCCATCCAGACAGGGACTGAGAGTGGCAAGGCCAGAACTGCTGGAACAGAGCTCTCCCCAGAGTCAACCAAGCGTCCGTGGTTTCCTAACACATCCATTGTGATTGAATAATACAATTTCACCAAGCACAGACAAAAAAATTTGCTTTCCTCCTCACAGTGTTAAAAGTTGAGCCCTCAACCCCATACACAGAACTCTCGCCTAAACCAGTAGATTTCAATAGGGACTGACGGGCAACCTGTTTCACACAAGACCCTCCAGCATCGTTTGCAGCCACGGAAATAAATGCAGCCCAATAGAGCAAACCAGAATTGCTCAGCATTTTTTGAATCAATTAAAGGTTCACGCTCTAAGCTTTTGTCTGGGCCACACTCCAACAGTTTGTACAAGCTCTCCCTCCTGCTGTTGCCTTTTTGCCCCTTTCGCTCATCTTCTACGTCTACCTTTCCTAGACCCACAAGTGTCCAATGGAACATGACTGAGCAAAGCCCCTTCTGCTCACACATTCCTCCTCCCTGAGCAGTGATGCACGTCTGCTCCTGACACACAGCTCAGTATGGTTACTGCTTCTAGACTCCACCTGAGAGCTTAACCAGTTCTCATCACAGTTTCCTAAGCATAGCATTTACATCCTAACCTATAATAATGTATTCGTTTTCCTTCTTGCTTAGGAGTAAGTAGGGTATTTCAACCAAATTTGGTTCATTTCTCTTTCTTCTTCTTAAACATATGGTAACTAACCCTAACTGCACACCAGCTCTTCTTTCTTGAGGAAGACTCAGAAAAGCAACCTTTGTTTTTTAAACCTTTTGACTGAACACATTTCCGAAAGGTCAAGAGAAGACAGTCAATATTTTGCAACAGATTGTCCACCCAGTCTTCTTCCTTTAACGTCAATCAGGCAGCACAAAACAAGCTGATTTCCTCCTCCTGCCTATTGAGGGGGAAGAGTCCAAAATGCAGAGCTCATACCCAGAAGTCTTGTGCCTACAAGGCTAGAGGGCAGAGCTGGACATAAGGCAACACAGAGGGCAATAGACATAACACAACACCTTGGCTGCCCCATGTTGCAAGGTAGTTACAAATTAAAACCATTCATGGGCTACGCTAGGTGGGCTAGAGATTAAATTAGTTAATTGCTCTCAGCTTTTTTCCTAGAGGATTATGTGGAGGGTATGTTGGGATTGCTCAACCTGGGGAAGTCAAGTCTCTGGAGAGACCTTAGAGAAGCCTTCCAGTATCTGAAAAGCACCTACAAGGAAGCCGGAGAGGGATTTTTTCCAAGGGTATGTGGTGATAGTGTTACCTGAAACAAAAGCTCTGGAAACCAGAAGCAGTTTAGAGAGGAGATGTTGCTTCATTCCATGTCACATGTTAGGTGGAAATCCACAAATCTAGCACACCTTATCAGGGACATTCATCCATTATTTATACACAAAAGAGTCTCATTATTCCATCTACTTAATACATAACTCAACATAGCCTTATATATTCATTAGGATGACAGAATAGCCCTTTTGCACATTCATACCAAATTTTGCAGCATCTGCAAAACCCTTCTGCACAGGCGTGAGCTCCTCATTATTTATACACAAAAGAGTCTCATTATTCCATCTACTTAATACATAACTCAACATAGCCTTATATATTCATTAGGATGACAGAATAGCCCTTTTGCACATTCATACCAAATTTTGCAGCATCTGCAAAACCCTTCTGCACAGGCGTGAGCTCCTCAGTGGTCATTTGGGTAAGGATACCCTTCCTCACATTATCCTTTTAAGATACTGAGTCATCTCAGGACAGTAAAAGTTTACTGTAAGTTTGCCAGCTTCTTGAGGATGATAAGGGTGTCCTTTGAAGTAGCCACAGAACTGTACTAATTGGTATTAGAGTACATACTTTGAAAATAAGAGAACAGTGAAGTGATTAACTACTTCTTATTATCCCATCCTTATCACTACCAGCTTGATGACCAACTATTTTCTCACCCAGTAAGAAGCTCACTAATTAACTCATTTTAGTTAGCACATGGTTATAAACAAAGCAGAAGCCTGCCTTTGGTAACAACTGAACAAGGGGTAATAGCTTCAAAGTAGAAGAGGGTTGATTTAGATGAGATATCAGGAAGAAATTTTTCACTCTGCGGGTGGTGAGACACTGGAACAGGTTGCCCAGGGAAGCTATGGATGCCCCATCCCTGGAGGTGTTCAAGGCCAGGCTGGATGGGGCTTTGAGCAACCTGGTCTAGTGAGAGGTGTCCCTGCCCATGGCAGGGGGGTTGGAACTAGATGATCTTTAAGGTCCCTTCCAAGCCACACTATTCTATGATTCTATGTCATTCTTAACTTGTCCCTAAACAACAGCTTCCACTGACTTCTTCTGTAACTGCTGAGGCCCACAACCTACCCAGAACAGTCAATGATGTTGTCATAGCAGTCCTCCTTCACCTAAAAACGCAGTGCACTACCAGCAAGGCAGCAGCTGAAATCTGATGCAGGAAGAACCAGCGAATGTTCAAAGCTCACCAGCCTGCATTAGAGTCCCACGTGGTGCTACAGGGGACACAGACTACAGTGGACGGGCAGCTGTACTTCCCTCTCCTGATGCTGATACAAACCACTCAGCCTAAAGTCACAAAGAGAAATAATTTTCCATTCACAGGAGTGTGTTTTTTTTCCTTTCATAGCCATGCTAAGATCCATAAATTTTGCCTCGAAAGACAAGAGG